TTAATATTTATTTTTTAGTTTTTGGTGGACACAACATCTTTATTTTATTTTTATGTGGTGCTAAGGATTGAACCCAGCACCCCATGCATGCCAGGCGAGCAAGCTACCACTTGAGCCACATCCCCAGCCCTCCATATATTTTAAATGCTTCTGAGTGATAAAAAGAAAAGAACTATTGATCCATAAAAACGGGGAACAAAGTTTAAGAAACAAGGAATTGTACACCCAAGACAAGGAAACAGATCCCTTATAAGAGCATGTAGTGACCTAGGACTTACACATAATTTCTGCAAAATAAAATGGTATTCTTTTTCTCTTTTAGAGGGCCTTTATTTATTTCCATACTGAGAATGTGAAAAACTACTTTAGAATTCCCCTTTTCCTATTGATTCTTTGTCTTCCCCCTCATTTTCTAGTCTTGATGAATGATTTTTTTTTAGCCTTCACTTTCAACCCTGGAAAAGAATGTAATTTTATTTCTAGTGAAAGGTAGTGTTTTACCTGCTCAACACAGCTGTTTCTACTTGAAAAGGGCATTTATTCCTTAAAGGACCTAATGATTCATGTCCTTAACTGAAAATTATGAACATTCTTGATAATGTAGAGGGGACTAATTTACCTTACCTTGGTGTTTATAAGTGATCTAAGTTTTCTGAGATTTGAAAAAAAAATCCAGGGCTGGTGTTGTAGCTCAGTGGTAGAGCGCTTGCCTAGCACATGTGAAGCACTGGGTTCAATCCTCAACATCACATTTTAAAAAATCAATAAATAAAATAAAGGTATAAAAATACAGACTATTTCTATTAGATTTTTCTTTCTTTCTTTTTCTTTTTTTAAATTGATTTTATTTTTTAAATACATGACAGCAGAATGCATTACAATTCTCATTATACATATAGAGCACAACTTTTCATATCTCTGTTTATATATAAAGTATGTTCACACCAATTCATGTCTTCATACATGTACTTTGGATAATTATGTCCATCACATTCCACCATCATTGTAACAGATTTTTCTTTTTTAAAATTAAGAGGCCATTCTTTAGCTGTTAGACATGGTGACCTACTCCCCTAAGTTTGTTTCTTAAATGGAGTGCTGAGGACGGAACCCAAGGCCTTGAGTATGCTAAGCAAGTGTTGTTCCACTTAACTATGGCCTCAACCCCATTTAAAGTGAACTCAAAAGGAAACAGTTTCTTACAAAAGCACAGCAGCATTTATTATAATAATGAAAAACCTGGAAACTCATTAAATGTCCAACATTATGAAAATGAGAAAATTATGATATATTAATTATATTAAATGTTATATATCCCTTAAATTAACTATGAAACTACATAACAATACAGATTATTATGTATAAAACAAACTTACATGGAAAAAATAGATCATGAAATTGTATATAAGCTATGATTATAACTTTAAGTACACAAAAGGATAAAGTTAAATGGAATATAAAATAATGAAAATGGCTGTATTAGCATGGTGATTTATGGATATTCTCTTAAATTTTTTTTCATTGTTTTAATACCTTTAAAAATTGTGAATCTTCTGGGGGTGATTCACTATCTTAGGCTTTTTATTTTTTATGTGAAATACCTTTTTTTCAGTTCTATACATTGAACCTTGTGCATGCTAATCATGTTCTCTCTTACGGAACTATACCTACAGTCCCTAAAATCTCTAATGTGTAGGAAAAATAAAATAGAACAAACTTAAAAATTTTTAGAAAGTGTTTGTGTTTTGGTTGCCTAAAAAAGAAACCAGTATCATTTTTTGTTTGCTTATAGAGGTGAATTGGGAAAATTAGGGTCAAATGTAAAGATATATCTGTGATTTTATTTTTTCTTTTTAAACTTTAGGTCCAAAATTATGCTGATGCCCTACAATGGTACTATTATTCCCTGACGTTTTATGGATTCGTTCAGCTAGATCTGGATTTAGCCAAGCTGCAGAGGAACATGGCTTCCTGTTACCTACATTTGAAACAACTTGATAAGGTCCTTTGATTTATCTATTTTCAGAGGCAGCAAATGTTCTTATATACAGTAGCAGAGACATGTGGTGTTATGACTTCTCAGCTGTATAGGATGTTTGAGCATTCCTTCATATAGAACAAGGTCAAATTGACATTTTCTTGATTTGTGCATTATAAACATTAAATGGGATTTTCCAAAAGGAGAAAGAATTTGAAAGACTATTAGTTTCATTACTTACTGTTTACTTTTTGCACCCTATTCTGAAAGGTAATATGTCATCCAAACCCCTGAAGTTATTTGCTACTAATCATCTGCAATATTGTACTAGGAAGCAGATTAAATTTTAATATCTTCCTTTTTCTTAAGCATTCATTGAGAGAAAGTACAAGAAGTCATTCTTTCACTTTGGGGTTATTGTCTCTTGCTTTTCTAACCACTCTAGAAAACATTTAGTAATTGACTCCTTAATAAGACAAAATTCTAGAATATAAAAAAGATAAAAGCTTTTTAAAGATAAAGCCATCAGTGCTTTCAATAGTGATTGGGACATTTCTTCCTTTGGGTTATCATATAGTATGTACATAATAGGGGTATTGGCTCTTTTTTTGACATATCATATTTCATACATTAGATTCAAGTGGGTTATGAACTCCAAATTTTTACCCCAAATGCAGATTGCAGAATCACGTCGGTTACACATCCACATTTTTACATGATGCCCTATTAGTAACTGTTGTATTCTGCTACCTTTCCTATCCTCTACTATCCCCCCTCCCCTCCCCTCCCATCTTCTC